CGGGCCGGGGGGGGGGCCCGGGGCCGAGAGGGGCGGCCCGATGACACGTGCCTGGCCCTGCCCCTCAGCGGCCAGTCGCCGGGAGCTCGCGTGCTCCCCGGGCCCAGCCCTACCCCGGCGGGCCAGGACAGTGAGACAGCGGAGTAGCAGGGAAGGAATCCCATCCCCATCATCTGCCAGCCGGTGTAGCTCTGACTCACCCAGCTAACTCGTCCTCTCCAGTCCCCCTCTGCCCCAGCACAGTGCACCATCCTCCTCGGGCCACCCCTCCTCAAGAACCTACCATGGCTCCCGAGCGCTCAGCTACCCTAGTTTCAAATCTCAGATCTTGCTCTCTCCCTTGACCGGCACCGTGTGCAGTGAGCAACCTGGCCAGCCCCTCGGGGCATCCCTTCCAACTTTCCAGAAGCCTTCAGCCCAGACCTCTCCTGCCCTTCACTCTGCAGGGCAGTAGTTTCCAGACTATGGCTTCCAGAGGGCAGGTCCCTGCCCCTTCCGGAGCTGTGTTCCTCCACCCGCCCAGCAGCCTGGGGTCCGGCCCAAACAGACGTCTACGTTTGCTGGCTTGAGTGCACCACCAAGTCCGTCTTGAGCAACGACTGTCTTCCTCACTCTTTTTTTCTGCTGGCTTTTTAGAGGAAGGGGAGCAGATGACACAGATGGAGCCCGGGGCCAGGCCCTTGTTCTCCAAGCCCTCACCAGCCCGGCCAGCCCGGAGATAAGCTGTGGGAATCCAGACCAAGGGAGATAAGGGGTGGAGGAGGTGTCAGTCCAGGGCTCTGGCCCCAGAGAAGGAGTCCTCAGCTTGGGAGGGCGGGTAGCCTGGAAGGATAGGTGTGGGTGGTGACGCTGGGCAGTGGTTCTGCAGGTACTAACCAGGGGGTCCAGCTTCCATGGACTCCTAGGCCTCATCGCTCCATTTAAGCAGCCCTGAAAACCCTGCACTTCAGCTGAAAAAGATGGGCTCAGAGGAGTTGAGGAACCTGCCTGAGGTCACACAGTCAGCGGTGGTAGAGTCGAGACCCATTAGATTAGGGTTTTTTTCTAAATCCTCCAAACCAGAGAGTATACTGGAAGCTGCAGCCGCATGCAGTCAGGCAACAAGGGGTTATTATAGAGCACCCACTAGGTGTTGTACCTTGGGGAGGGAGAAATAAAAGTTGTATCCACCACAGCCTCTGCCCTCCTCAGCCTCCCTCCCTCCCTCCCTCTGGCCCTCTGCTGTCCCCAGCCCAGCCTGGCAGCCTCCACCACAGACCCTTAGCTGAACACAGCCAGGATGATCCGTGCCCAGATTCTGAACTTAGGTCTCTCCTGGCTCACTGTGTGACCCAGGGCAAGTGTCCTACCCTCTCTGAGCTTCAGTCTCCACCTCTGTACAAACACCAAGTTAAACGAGACAACTGGAGCCATCCCTGACACTGACCTTGTAAGAGTCTCCTAAAAGTTCTCAGAGTTCATGCCAGCTTCTCTGCCCTCCCCTGCCCCAAGCCCTGCAGAATGGGGCCCTCTCCCACCATGCCTCAGGTACCCGGCTCACCTCTCTGTGTTCCAGGGCTCCTCTCCCAAATTCTTCTCAAGTGCAGGGCACAGGTCTGATGGGGCATAGCAGACAGTCCCTGAGCTCATGGCCAAGAACACTGGGCATGTCCCTCGGGCAGGGCACCTGGTGGGCTCGTCAGAGGCCTCCATGACTGGGGGGAGCCAGACCGAGGGTCCTCTGGAGAGTGGCAGGAGAGCAGGTGGAGGGTGCCTTCTCCCCACCCCCAGGCCGAGCCTCTCACTAACCTTTGCTATCTCCCAGGAGCAGCAGTCTGAGAGGGAGGTGCCTCCCGGCCAGGCCCCTATCTCCTTAAACCCATAATTATTAACTCCAGCGGCTCAGGGGCAGCAGATGACACTGGGGCCCTCCTCCTTGGGCTCTGGGCCAGGGAAGGTGAGACATCTTGAAGGGAAGTGGTAGGCTTCCCCAACTGCCTGAGTCCCTGGCTTCACCTAGGCCCAGATGGACGAATGGAAAGGTGCCTTTTGAGCCCTGGCCCTGTCACCAGCTGGCTATGCAGCTTGGAGCAGGCCCTTTTCCCACCACCAGCCTCAGTACCCCTTTAAGACGTTTACCCACCACCACCAAGGGACAACTCAGTGTCGCACTTAGGAACACAGGTCTGGAGTCAGACAGGCTGTGCAACCCAGTCTGTGACTCTTTGACCATATTAACTTCTCTGCGCCTCAATTTTCCCAACTACGAAATGGGTTCTCAGCCTCTAAAGCATGCCAGGCCATTTGTCATTGCCTATATCTGTCATTGTCCCTTGATCTGTAACTTCCACCCCATCCCATCCATGCCGATAAATTTTTTCTCTGCTCATGCCTCCCCCCCCCCCCCC